ACGACCGCAACTGGGAGGCCATCGAGCGCTGGGTGCGCAACTCGGTGCGGGGCAATCAGTTCGTGAACGTGCGGACAGGTGCCAACGGTATCCTCTCGCTGCCAGCCGCCAACGGGCCGAGGCAGGTCTCCCTGAGCGGAAACCGCAATCCGGTGCCACTCTGGATGTACAAGATCGTCCGCGACTCAAATAATCGGCCCACAGTGGCATTCCTCACCTACAACAACATCTTTGCCCGACAGCGTCCCGCAGCGCCGGCCTTCTGCCAGGTCGTCAATTGTCCCATCCAACTGGGCGGCACGGCCGCTGATGGCTTCACCTTTTGTTGCAACCCCGCCACCTTTAACCCCCCCAACTGATTGGTATATTGGTGATATTAACTGGAACCGAATATTTATTCAATTTGCATTTAAAGAATAAACCAATTAAAGGCACTGAAATCTAATTCAGAGATATTAATCACTGACTAACAGACCACATTTTTCGGACTTGTTTCTATCACTGCCTGAACATTTAATTTGATTATCCGCTTCAGCATTGCATTGCCACAATTCACAAAATTAAATTCGAATTAAATATATTTTTGTGACTGAAGGCCGCAAATCAATTTTCATAAATCGTAAAAGTTCGCGTGGCAATTTAAAAAGCAACTAAACGCTTTGGATTCATGCCTCATTCAAAATTGACTCCTGCTGCCACTTTTAACGGTCATTCGGTGGGTTCTCATAAATTTCATTCGCGCCAACTGCTCTCGCGACTGCCCCAACCCAGCCGCCGCGTCGTCTCGCTTTTGGGCCATTTAAATTCAAGCTGCGATTGTGAGGACGGTGGGGGAGCGGTGAGAGCGTGGCACTTTTCAATGCGTGCGACTGCAATAAAGCCTGAGCCCATGGCAATTTTGCTTTTGGCCGTGTTGTGGGCTGCGCCTAAAAGTAGACATTAAATAAATTATTCAGCTGGGCATGGCTGCTGCGTTGCCTTTAAATACACACGCCTGCGAAATTGTTTTGTGCGTGTCGAACTGATGGAATACCAAGGAAGTCGCTGCGGAGAACGGGGTGGAGTCTGGAGGCCACTGGGAGCTCATAAAAGTGCAGAATAAATTTAGGCAGCCCGGACATGAGCTGGGCTCTCATAAAATCTAACAGTTGTAATTGTGCTGTAAACACGCAACTCAATGGCATTGTAAATGGCGGTGGACCAGCCACCCACCCTTGCCACCCATTCACCAGGCCCTATCTATGCGTGTATCCCATCGGGAAGCTCGTCTCCGTCTCCGTTTCCACCTCTGCCATCACCCGTCTGCAGTGCGGCACAATTTAATTTATGTTTCGGTTTGTGGTCGGCTTGTTGATTTCGCCGCTTTGCCCCTTTTATTTTTATTGACCATTACATTCCCTACACAGAACCATGGCACACACCACACCACACCACACGATTCGAGTCGCAAATTTTATATGGCATAATTTGGTTCGCTTCTGTGAGCGTACATTAAAAGTGCCCAAATAGCGCAAAATTGCTCGTAAGTTGCGGAAATTGCGTTACGCCTCCATCAGTCCAGGACCAGCTTACAAGCGGAAGGCAGACAAAAGCCTAGCATACTTTGCCGCGCATTAAGCATTCCACAAAATGCACATTAAAATACATGGCCAGTGGCCACTTAGATCCAACGACAAATCCAACGACAATGGCCAGACAATGACAATGACAATGGCCAGCCGACATTAGAAGGCAATCATTCAGTCACTGTCTGGCTCTGCCTTTGATTGTGATTGTGATTCTGATTCTGGCATAATTGTGTCATTATGTGATCTTGAAACAGACCTCTCGAACAGGTACATCATAGTCAGTTGAGTTCGGGTTAAGTCAACCACAGCGACAGGATGCCATTGTGAATTTACATGCCCATTAAGTGCAGTGGCCACATCGATAAAATATGTACTTGAATAAATTGATATGTGCACCATACACATGTGGTCAAATCAATAGCGAAGCTTTAAGTTACATTCCAAAGTAAGAGAGCAGCGCTGTTTACAGCCCAAAATAACAGCCTGTGTCCACTCTCGGCTAACAGTCTGTAGCTGTCGAGAATTCTGCTAGCGCTCTCTGACAGCGCTCCAATGATCGACACGGCTCCCGAGCGGGAGCCACGCTCACGCTCCCGCTCTCGCTGCCCACAGCCGCCGGCAGCTTGCTTCGCTTCCACACCCAAAAAAAGCCATGCACGCGATCGAATAAACACCGAATACACACTGAATACTGCTTCTGCACTGTGGGACCCCTGATGGGGCGTACATAATCCTTAAACAGATATCTTTATATTTATCTTATCTTAATATGTCACTGTATGTACATTGCACTTCAAACCCTTTCAAGAATGGCTTGGTAAGAATGGAGTGGGAAAAGCCCGATAGCTCCGGGAGCCGTATAAATGCCAGTGGCTGAGCCTACCGATCCTCAATCACCATGGAAGCCCAGCAGGTTGTACGATATCTCCTGCTTTGCATCGCCATTGGACTGGGATTGGGTGAGTAGCCTCAAGAAAGGAACTGTTCGACTTGATGCATTATTTCCTTGGCATGACAGTCCTTCAGGCGGAGGCCGACTGCCCACTCTCCCGTGCCATGATTGAGGGCACCAATCGCATATTTTCCAACCGCGATCGCAAGGGAAATTACGCCCTGAAGCGGGTCCAGAGAGTGCAAACTGGCGAGGTGCTTCACATGATCTGCCAGCCAGACGACATCGTCCAGACCACCTGCCAGCCGAACACGAAATTCTCCCGACCGCTGCCGCTGCGATGCAACAACCCCATGGCCGCCAGTGCCACAATCGTCACCGATGCATCCTGTCCGGCCACCATGTACTCCATTGGCTACACGATCAACAACAGACGACTGGAGCTGTATCGCGCCTGCTACGATCGCACCAATGTAAGGGCGATCTTTACGAGACACACGGTGTACGGCAAAACCTTCTGTGAGTATTTTTCCCGTGATATCTCCCGGCTTCTTTGACTCGACAGGATGTCTCTGTTCATCCCACAGACCCGAAGCGTCCCTACGCGGACTTCAGCCTAGATGGAGCCTTGAGTAAGGCGGATGCCAGGACCTTCACCGTCCGCAGTATCTACTATGCATTCAGGCGCATCTTCGGCAACACCCAGACATATATCAGCAATAATCGGGATGTGATCATCAATCGCGGACACCTCACTCCCTCGGCCGACTTCCTCTACGGCGATCAGATGTTCGCCACCTTCAAGTACGTGAATGTGGTGCCGCAGTTAAAGAGCATCAACGAGCGGAACTGGGAGACCATCGAGCGCTGGGTGCGCAACCGCATCCGAGGTGGTGGCTCGCTGATGATCAAGACGGGTCCTGTTGACAATCTCATCCTGCCCAATCGTGCACGGCCACCCGTCCCTCATCGCGTAATCCTGGGAACTGGCACCAAGAACCCCGTGCCCGAGTGGATGTACAAGGTGGTGCGAACTTCCACCAACCAGCCTCTGGCCGTCTTCCTCACGTACAACAACATTTACGCACCACGCCGTCCAAATGCCCCAGCATTTTGCACTAGCGTTCCCTGCCCCATGCCCCTGGTCAACACGGCAGTCGCTGGCTTCACCTACTGCTGCAATGCCACCATTTTCAATCTCTAATATGATCGTGCTTCCACTTATTTTGAATGAAAGCAGTAGCTTTGGTTCCTCCTAAATATCCCAGATAAAATATACTCGATTAAAGCAGCAAAAATGTTTTGATTTTTAATCGATTAGGCAGCGTAAAGTTCTTTCCAAGGAATAGTTTTACCATTCCCTAGTGTTCCTAATCTTTATTTCTCTTGTATTTAAATTTAATTATTTAGTCATTGAGTTGATTAATAATTTGTAGGCCATACAATTTGTCTAATCAGAGATGAAAAAAATGAATTCATTTTCACAGTACTATGAACGAATAGGCAATTTGACATGAACTTTAGTAATAATATATTTAGCTGAAAATTAAAAGGCTGATAAGAATTTGTATGGATAGAGGGACTTTCGTTCGCTCGACTAAATTAAAAAAAAAACAGATGACGGATGTCCCAAAACTCGATGACGAGCCCCGTACCAATGCCAGCAACGATGCTCTCTATGTAGTATGTCCAAAGCATAGACGAGCCAACAGGGCCACCGAAGATTACCTTCTACTGTATCGTGTTGCCGTGCAGCCCCCCCTGAAAGTGACTGCAACCCTTTCGCCAGGATACTGTGCGTCTGTGTAGTCCTTCCCCCCCCCCCACTAATGAATGTTCCGACGAATAGACGAGTGGTTTCAAGTGCGACTTTTTATTTGATTTTTGCTGCTGCACCTTAGATTTAATTTTAGATAGGTTTTTATGAGTGCTGATGACAAAATGCAAGCCACATAAAGTTCATTGGATGCAAGGCAGCTTGAAAAGAATGAAAAGACAAGCCCTTTGTTATTATACGTGCTCCGGCAAAGTAAACACCACAGCCGGAAAACCACTTGGCGATGCCTGATAATAACCGCAGATAAGGGAGGGTAGGAAGAGCCTCAGTACCGCCCGCCCACTCGGCCCGGGGCAAGGACTGTCTTGAACCGCATGTGCACAGCTATCAGCGATGACCTGAGAAATGGGGCGGGCGATGAAAGTTGCAATTTCTGAGCGGCCGCCACACGCACGATGTCATCTGTTGGATTCTTGAAACCAAAAGGTATGGGCAGCAGAATGTAAGATGTAATAGAGAAAAGGTGTTGCCCATTTGAATATAGATCTATTAGATCATCTATCAAGCGATCAGAATGCCAAGTATAGAATTTCCCACTAGTAGGGCAATGAAATTACTCACTTCCACTTAACGCGTAATCAGCAGCTTCATTCTTAAAATAATACAAACAAGTATTCGCAATGCGATAAGGAAAGGTGCGATAAGGAAATTCCCCAACATCTACTGTACGTATAAAGCTACTAAAGTCTGGGCAATCTGCCGAGCGACCATCAGTTGTAGCTCCGAGCTCAAGTTGTGAAGATGAACCACGTGCGGTGTCTCTGTCTAAGTCTCAGTCTGCTTCTTTGTAAGTTATAATATAAATTAATATTTGGTGTTTAAGAGTGATCATCTTTGTAGTACTCGGAAGCGCGCAGGCTGACTGCCAGCTAAATACAAATGAACTAAAGCAGACTAATCGAGTTTTTGCCACTCGCGATGGTTCGAGTTATCAACTGCTGCGCAAGGACTTGCTTCCTAACACTGCAAGTGTGTATTCGATTTGCAATGCCGCTGACATAATACAATCAAGGTGCACTGGAAATAACTTCAGCCCACCACTGGCCACAACTGGTTGTTCTCAACCCATAAGCCCAGTGGTGGAGGCGATCGCCGATTCCAGTTGCCCTCACACCATGTATCGTGTGGGCTATAATGTCAGAAATTTAGTGTTTCTGGAGATCTATAGAAGCTGCTACGATGCTTCGAACGTTAAAGCGCATTTTACCATTTACATGGCCCACACAAGCACCTCGGGTAAGTTTTGTATTCCAGTCAGCAGGGCAGCCATTGGACGAGTAATTTCAACTAATCTACGTCTATGTTTAGAGGCGGATCGTCGAGAGTATTTCACAACTGATCGCATAATCTCTGGAGCAGCTGCGAGCTCGTTTCAGAATCCCAAGATCTATGAAAGATACCAACAACTCCTGGCACCCCAGACATATTTTGTGAAGGGCGAGCTTCTGTACGATCGTGGCCATCTGGTGCCATCCCTCGACTTTGCCTTCGAGGCGAGCCGAGGACAGACCAACAAGTACATCAATTTGATACCACAGTTCAAAACAATCAATCGCGGCAACTGGAAAACCATCGAGAACTGGGTACGCCGACAGCTCTCTCAGGGACGCTACGATGCTCTGAAAGTCTGCACTGGTGTCCTGGGAGTGCTCGAGTTGTACTCGCGAAACGCTGATATTCCAATTTTTCTGCTGGCCAACCCAAACAGGAATCCCGTTCCCAAGTGGATATACAAAATTGTAAGCCACATATCAGGCGCCCACTTTGTTTTCCTCACCTACAACAACGCCCATGCAACCACACGGCCGACTGGACAAGACGTGTCAAACGTTTGCACAGAAGTGCCGTGCTCAAACTCCGGACTCAGTGTACGGGACGAGGGGAGGGCCGGATACACCTTCTGCTGCGACCCGTACGATTTTATTACTAGAAATCTGCCACATTTAACGGGAGTTTGCTGAACCTTAGCATGTGAAAGCTTTTGGAGCCCCCGTTTTGTAATCTAAGTGTGGAACATGGCTAAAAGCTCAAAAATAAAGCTTTTGGTTGGTACGATTGTAGAGTTCTACCCTTACTGGAATTGGGTATTACCAATCTCTGACCACACCCACACACATTGAACGTTCGGTCAAAAAACTACGCCAATTAAATGACACAATATTTCTGTACGTGTAGTCCACATCGGAAAGGTCGTACAATTCTCTTTTCAAGCCATCAGTTTTTGTGGGGGATGTTCTTAAAGTCTGCACCGGTGCCTTCGGTGTGCTCCACCAGTGGAAATCTGCAATCAGTTCAACCATGGCCCTCAACATTATTCCCGTTCCCAAGTGGATGTACTCTCACTGACTTTCACCGAAAACAAAGGATTGGACGACCTGTTCAATGCCCAAACTAAATGGATCTGCGGTGGGCGGGGCAGGAAGGATACACATTCTGCTGCGAGAAATGGGGCTGGCGATGAAAGTTGCAATTTCTGAGCTGCCGCCACAGAATGCCGCACTGTTCAGAGTGAGGACGGCGCTGGCGGGGCAACAGCTCTGTGGGCATTCCAGCCACACCACTGTTAGCAATCCAGCTAGCAAGCTGTTGCCCTCGCTCTCGCTCCTGCTCTCGCTGCCGACAGCCCTCGGCAGGTTTAGCCCCACCGATCTACTTTATTTCGGTTTTTCCACATGCCGGCTTTTGCGCGCGATATATACATACATATTTAACTACAATTAACCCTACGAATAAGAGCCTAAGCCTGTAACCTTGAAGAAATTGGAACTGCCTTGTATTTATCTGTGGGAAATCAACTGTGGAACACATTTGGCAACACATTTGAATATAGATCTATTAGATTATCTATCAAGCGATCAGAACTCCAAGAATACAAAAGCTCCGGGAGCCGTATAAATGCCAGTGGCTGAGCCTACCAATCCACAATCACCATGGAAGCCCAACAGGTTGTACGATATCTGCTGCTTTGCATCGCTGTTCGACTTGATGCATTATTTCCTTGGCTGGTTCAACCCCCAGCGGAGGAGATGTAGAATCTAAATGGAACATGTACAATCTACATGTTAGATGTAGAATATACATTGTAGATGTAGATATCAGATGTAGCAAAAAAATGTAAAATTAAATATTTTTTTTTTAATTCTAAAATTCTAAAAAATCATATGCTCAAAAATGTATATACTGACTGAGTACGGATATAAGTAGAGTCGCGTCCCCAGAAGCGACTCGCACGTTCCTTCTCGTTTTAATTTAATTCTAAGCAATCAACTGTTAGGATTATTTTGGCCACAATTGTATCTGTTTTTCAAATTGCTGGCTTATTTCCTTAGATTTTTCGCATATGAAACCCACTTGGAATGGAGCTTGCAACGCACTCAACTGTGCCACAAAAATATATGCTTTCCAATGTGCATTTGCATGTGAGAGCACAGAATGCAGCGAAATAGTTTTGGCTAAATATTCGGGAAAATAAAATTACATTTGGCTGCCATCAGCAAGAGCCTATAAGTAAGAGGGGAAACCAAAGCCTTAAAGGAAGTGCACACACTTCCATGTTGACCCAGAAAGAGAGGCAGGGAAGTGTTGGCACTGTCAGAGCCGGAAAATGGAAGTACAAATTACTGTGCATATCCGAGTGTGAAATATTTTTAGGGCCAGCCAGGCTAGGGCTAGCCGCACTTCAAGTGCGGAGCACAATGAGAAACAATAAAATGCCGCTTCAGCGCTTTAGGCTCCCCCATGCAAGCGGTCAGAATGTGTTGCCAAAAATAGTCTGTTGTTTCGCCTTCTGGAGCTGAATGCAGAATGCAGACACGTGCCAACGCGCGTGGCCCGGTAAGAATGGAGTGGGAAAAGCCCGATAGCTCCGGGAGTCGTATAAATGCCAGTGGCTGAGCCTACCAATCCACAATCACCATGGAAGCCCAACAGGTTGTACGATATCTGCTGCTTTGCATCGCCATTGGACTGGGATTGGGTGAGTAGCATTAAGAAAGGAACTGTTCGACTTGATGCATTATTTCCTTGGCATGACAGTCCTTCAGGCGGAGGCCGACTGCCCACTCTCCCGTGCCATGATTGAGGGCACCAATCGCATATTTTCCAACCGCGATCGCACGGGAAATTACGCCCTGAAGCGGGTCCAGAGAGTGCAAACTGGCGAGGTGCTTCACATGATCTGCCAGCCGAACGACATCGTCCAGACCACCTGCCAGCGGAACACGAACTTCTCCCGACCGCTGCCGCTGCGATGCAACAACCCCATGGCCGCCAGTGCCACAATCGTCACTGATGCATCCTGTCCGGCCACCATGTACTCCATTGGCTACACGATCAACAACAGACGACTGGAGCTGTATCGCGCCTGCTACGATCGCACCAATGTAAGGGCGATCTTCACGAGACACACGGTGTACGGCAAAACCTTCTGTGAGTATTTTTCCCGTGATATCTCCCGGCTTCTTTGACTCGACAGGATGTCTCTGTTCATCCCACAGACCCGACGCGTCCCTGCGCCGACTTCAGCCGAGATGGAGCCCTGAGTGAGGCGGATGCCAGGACCTTCACCGTCCGCAGTATCTACGATGCCTTCAGGCGCATCTTCGGCAACACCCAGACATATATCCGCAATAATCGGGATGTGATCATCAATCGCGGACACCTCACTCCCTCGGCCGACTTCCTCTACGGCGATCAGATGTGCGCCACCTTCAAGTACGTGAATGTGGTGCCGCAGTTCAAGAGCATCAACGACCGGAACTGGGAGACAATCGAGCGCTGGGTGCGCAACCGCATCCGAGGTGGTGGCTCGCTGATGATCAAGACGGGTGCTGTTGGCAATCTCATCCTGCCCAATCGTGCACGGCCACCCGTCCCTCATCGCGTAATCCTGGGAACTGGCACCAAGAACCCCGTGCCCGAGTGGATGTACAAGGTGGTGCGAACTTCCACCAACCAGCCTCTGGCCGTCTTCCTCACGTACAACAACATTTACGCACCACGCCGTCCAAATGCCCCAGCATTTTGCACTAGCGTTCCCTGCCCCATGCCACTGGTCAACACGGCAGTCGCTGGCTTCACCTACTGCTGCAATGCCACCATTTTCAATCTCTAATATGATCGTGCTTCCACTTATTTTTAATGAAAGCAGTAGCTTTGGTTACTCCTAAATATCCCAGATAAAATATACTCGATTAAAGCAGCAAAAATGTGTTGATTTTTAATCGATTAGGCAGCGTAAAGTTCTTTCCAAGGAATAGTTTTACCATTCCCTAGTGTTCCTAATCTTTATTTCTCTTATATTTAAATTCAACGAGAAGGAACGTGCGAGTCGCTTCTGGGGACGCGAATCTACTTATACCCGTACTCAGTCAGTATATGTATACATTTTTGAGCATATGATTATTTAGAGTTTTAGAATTAAAAAAAAAAAATTTTACATTTTTTAGCTACATCTGTTATCTACATATACAATGTATATTATACATCTAACATGTAGATTGTACATGTACCATTTAGATTCTACATCTCCTCCGCTGGGGGTTGCTCGCGCACTAAACGAGTGAGCGAGCGAGAAAGAGATAGGTAGGGGGTCTTTGGCAGGAGGGGGCGGAAGAACAAACAGAAAACTAATTTCTTCATTCTGGCTATAATTATGATCCGATCTGATTCAGATTTGGCAATCTGGTGGATATGGGCATTTTCTACGTTACTGCGTTTTTAGTTTTATCGTATCATTAAAATTGTGGCTGCCACAGATTTTCGTTCTTTGTGGGGGCGGAAGGGGGCGGGGCGAAATTTTTAAATACACTTGTAGCAGTGTGATATCACATGAGTCTGGAAACCAAATTTGGTTGCCCTAGCTCATATAGTCTCTGAGATCTAGGCGCTCAACAAGACGGACAGACAGACAGACAGACAGACAGACAGACAGACGGTCAGACAGACATGGCTCTATCGACTCGGCTATTGATGCTGATCAAGAATATATATACTTTATGGGGTCGGAAACGTTTCCTTCTCTGCGTTACACACATCCACTTTTACCACAAATCTAATATACCCCTTAACTCCTTTTTGAGTACGGGTATAATTATTTATTTATTATTTATTTTCCTCAAGGAACAAAACCAACTTTTTCTTAAAGATTTGGGGTTTACAAATGGCATCAACCCATATTTTCTTTTTTTTCTATTTAAGAACTTCTTTTTGAAGAATTTTTGAAAACTGTTTTTTTTTTTAAAGCTTTTTTCAGTGGTAGCGTTTGTGGTAAAAGTGGATGTGTGTAACGCAGAGAAGGAAAATTTTCCGACCCCATAAAGTATATATATTCTTGATCAGCATCAATAGCCGAGTCGATATAGGCATGTCTGTCTCTCCGTCTGTCTGTCTGTCCGTCTTGTTGAGCGCCTAGATCTCAGATACTATAAGAGCTAGGGCAACCAAATTTGGTTTCTGGGCTCATGTGATATCACACTGCTACAAGTGTATTTCAAAATTTCGCCCCGCCCCCTTCCGCCCCCACAAAGAACGAAAATCTGTGGCAGCCACAATTTTAATGATACGATAAAACAAAAACGCAGTAACGTAGAAAATGCCCATATCTACCAGATTGCCGAATCTGAATTAGATCGGATTATAATTATAGCCAGAATGAAGAAATTAATTTTCTGTTGGTTCCCCCGACTCCACCAGCCAGAGCCAAACCTGCTACACATTCTCTTTCTCGCTCGCACACACGCCGCGTTCAGTGCGCGAGCAACCCCTAGCGGAGGAGATGTAGAGTCTAAATGGTACATGTATAATATACATGTTAGATGTAGAGTATACATAATATATGTAGATGTATATAACAGATGTAGCACACAAATGTTAAATGTAAAATTTTTTTTTTTTAATTCTAAAATTCTAAAAAATCATAAGCTAAAATATGTATATACTGACTGAGTACGGTTATAAGTAGAGTCGCGTCCCCAGAAGCGACTCGCACGTTCCTTGTCTTGTCAAAATAATATGAGATAAAATCAAATTTTTAATTAGTTAACTGTATCTATTAACAGGGCCATTTAGACAACGCTTGTACAACGGCAACAACAACAACAAAAACGTGGAATGTACGAAGTACTCGTGCGTAAAAGTTTGTGAGAGGCTACTCTTTGAGATTGCTCAGACAAATGCAGTACAATTTGTCCGTTTTGTCGTCGATGCAGGTGGAATCGCCTTCATAGGAATCGAGGCGACTGATGGATGTCACTTCTACCTCCACAGCTTCCGTAATATTGTTGAAGACGACTGTGGCCCGGAAGTCGGCGCTGTTTTGTTTCACCTTGAACATTGTCCGATACACGGCCGTCTCCGCCAGCTGCGAGTCGTGGAAGTTCTGATGGAGGGGGATCTTAGTTTCCGTTTCGTGCACATAGGACAGCGATAAATTGGCGCAAATGGCGCTGAGATTCCTGCCGCTTAGGTATTCGTTGATGCGGTCAATGACCCGAGATGCGATGCGACGTGGCCAGTCGCCGGAGAGTCGCTTGTAGGGCACACAGGTGCAATAGTGCTCCGGTATGCCAGCGTCTTCGCATGACCGCTGCTCGTCCATCGGATAGAACAGCGACTGGCACTTGGGGCAATCGTGGGACTTGGGCAGCGGCCGGCCATCGCCCAACTCGATGATGTGCTTCAGAGTGTTGTGCAGATCATAATTGGAGGTCAGTCGATTCCGATTCAATTCCAGGGCCCGTGCGTACTCGGGATAGTGGGCCCGGAACCAGGGCGGCAGGTAGATGAACATCGCGGGCAGACGCGACTCCAGGAAGCCACTTTCCAAGTACATGATGTCCCCGTAGCGCGAACCGTGATCGGAGAGGAATATCATAATGCTCTGCTCGAAGACGCCGTCAGCCTCGAAGTCCAGCATGTACTGCAGGACGTAGTCCTCCATCTTCGATGGCATTCGGTAGCTGTCGTGGCTGAAACTGTTCGACCAGAACAGCCCCCAAATGGGTTGCTCGTCCACGTACCGCCTGGCGAACTCCTTGCACATGTCGTACGCATAGCTGCTCGTCTCCCGCCGACCAATGCAATACCTCAGCGAGCAATCGGCGCACTTCCAGGTGTCCATTTCCGCCTCGACTGCCTTCTGGAGAGGCCTGAGGTAGTAGTCCGTTGGCTGCTTCTTGAAGCCTGGCTTAACGTAGTTGAAGGTATTCATCCCAGTCTCATCCTCGGCATATGCCGTCAGGTAGCTGGCGTTCTTGAAATACTTCCAGATGAAGGGAATCTCGTCGAGGCAGCCACTGGTTTCCCAATCGCAGACATTTTCCTTGGCTGACTCGGGACTGTAGCCGGCCAGAATGGCCATCAGATTGGGAAATGTGTTGTCGCCTATCTGGAAGTGGCAATTAGATTCTGCAGCCCCAAGCTGGCTTGATCCCCAAGCACTCACCTTGTTGTATCCCTGAAGCTCGTACCATCCCCGGCGAGTGAGAAAGTTGTACACTTTGGGCATGGTGCGCCTCAGATTGATTCTGGATAGACTGTCGATGCCAAACATGATGACGGACGGCTTCCGCTTCGATGGCTCCAGGAAGAGTCCTGGCGGCGGAGCCCGGTACTGGACGAGCGTGTAGGCATCGCTCTGGAGGATGTGAGACGTGTTGTCCGTCCGATGGCAGCCCAATATGAGGCCCGGAACATGCACCGGAACCACATAGTCCTGGGAGAAGTACTTGCGATCGACGCTAGAGACAAGCTTTAGGGTCCAGGGCAGACCAGATATCCATTCACGTGTAGTACATACCTGTCGTAGCCGTCAGACGGACTGCGTTTTATCTCCTGGTAATAGCAGTTGTACTCGATCTCGCTGGAGTTGAGCAGGCGGGAGGCCAGGGTCTCGTTGATGTGCAGCACATAGCGCTGTCGGCTCACATCGTAGATGGGGGTGACCAGGGCGGTGTCGTTGGAGCAGGGCTCGTACTGCATGCGCTCGTACACGGCCATTGTGTCCGCCCCAAAGGGATCCACATACGGTATCTTGCATAGGGAGCTCTCCACGTAGTACAATGGCAACGCAGTCACTTTGCTCACATCGGCATCGCTTGAAGCGGAATGCGAATACAAATCCGAATCATTCGGATCTTCGGAGTCGTCCAGGATCGTTGTCACCGGCTGGAGTGTGGGTGCTTTAAATTTGGGTGATGGAGCATCGCTGTTGCGCTGCTGTGGCAGAAACACAACACAAATCACAAATAGAAAACAGAATACGATCCATTTATGTATTGAACGGAAGGCAGGAGACCCCATGTTGTGCAGAGCAAGAAGCTCGATAGCCTACTGAGTACATGAGTACATGAAGCGGAAGACGGAGCGTGCGATTTGTCTATTCTCAAGTATTTACTATGAATGCACATATGTATGTTGTCAGCCCAGACCCATACCCATTAAATGGCAGACGCTTTGCCACCGGTTGAATATCTTGAGGCTTCCGGTTCTTTTACTTAATTAAGTACATATTAGCAATTATTACAATTAAATTATTAAAAGTTATCAATCAGAGCCTGCTACGGAGGCTTTCTGCAGAAGAGCATCTTGTTCATGAACCTGGCAGAGTTTTTCTAACGAACTTGTCACACACACAATACTAACTGACAAGGATTGATGATCAGCTGGTGGATTGAAGGAAATTATCATTATCTCATAGTTGTACTGTGCCCTTCCTGATACCCTCGCCAAGGGTTGTTAAGTATTGAATATACATAACTGTTAGACATTGCACAATGGGCCAAACTCCTGTTCTTATTTGCATTAAGGGGTATATTAGGTTGGTGCTAAAAATGAATGTGTGCAACGCAGAGAAGGAAACGTCGCTAAAAAAAAAGATAGAGATATTGTTGCAATATGAAACGTTTTGGATAGGTAATGTTAATGGAAATAGTTGCCTTAGCTCGTAAAATTAATTTAAAACCCATTTTTCAAAACTAGTTAGCAGAGGACAGACCAACAAGCACATCAATTTGATACCACAGTTCAAAACAATCAATCGCGGCAACTGGAAAACCATCGAGAACTGGGTACGCCGACAGCTCTCTCAGGGACGCTACGATGCTCTGAAAGTCTGCACTGGTGTCCTGGGAGTGCTCGAGTTGTACTCGCGAAACGCTGATATTCCAATTTTTCTGCTGGCCAACCCAAACAGGAATCCCGTTCCCAAGTGGATATACAAAATTGTAAGCCACATATCAGGCGCCCACTTTGTTTTCCTCACCTACAACAACGCCCATGCAACCACACGGCCGACTGGACAAGACGTGTCAAACGTTTGCACAGAAGTGCCGTGCTCAAACTCCGGACTCAGTGTACGGGACGAGGGGAGGGCCGGATACACCTTCTGCTGCGACCCGTACGATTTTATTACTAGAAATCTGCCACATTTAACGGGAGTTTGCTGAACCTTAGCATGTGAAAGCTTTTGGAGCCCCCGTTTTGTAATCTAAGTGTGGAACATGGCTAAAAGCTCAAAAATAAAGCTTTTGGTTGGTACGATTGTAGAGTTCTACCCTTACTGGAATTGGGTATTACCAATCTCTGACCACACCCACACACATTGAACGTTCGGTCAAAAAACTACGCCAATTAAATGACACAATATTTCTGTACGTGTAGTCCACATCGGAAAGGTCGTACAATTCTCTTTTCAAGCCATCAGTTTTTGTGGGGGATGTTCTTAAAGTCTGCACCGGTGCCTTCGGTGTGCTCCACCAGTGGAAATCTGCAATCAGTTCAACCATGGCCCTCAACATTATTCCCGTTCCCAAGTGGATGTACTCTCACTGACTCTCACCGAAAACAAAGGATTGGACGACCTGTTCAATGCCCAAACTAAATGGATCTGCGGTGGGCGGGGCAGGAAGGATACACATTCTGCTGCGAGAAATGGGGCCGGCGATGAAAGTTGCAATTTCTGAGCTGCTGCCACACGCACGATGTCATCTGTTGGATTCTTGAAACCAAAAGGTATGGGCAGCAGAATGTAAGATGTAAAGAGAAAAGGTGTTGCCCATTTGATTATAGATCTATTAGATCATCTATCAAGCGATCAGAATTCCAAGAATACAAAAGCTCCGGGAGCCGTATAAATGCCAGTGGCTGAGCCTACCAATCCACAATCACCATGGAAGCCCAACAGGTTGTACGATATCTGCTGCTTTGCATCGCCATTGGACTGGGATTGGGTGAGTAGCATTAAGAAAGGAACTGTTCGACTTGATGCATTATTTCCTTGGCATGATAGTCCTTCAGGCGGAGGCTTCAGGCACTCTCCCGTGCCATGATTGAGGGCACCAATCGCATATGTGCCAACCGTGATACCAGGGGAAACTACGCCCTGAGGCGGGTCCAGAGAGTGCAAACTGGCGAGGTGCTTCACATGATCTGCCAGCCGGACGACATCGTCCAGACCACCTGCCAGCCGAACACGAAATTCTCCCGACCGCTGTCGCTGCGATGCAACAACCCCATGGGCGCCAGTGCCACAATCGTCACTGATGCATCCTGTCCGGCCACCATGTACTCCATTGGCTACACGATCAACAACAAACGACTGGAGCTGTATCGCGCCTGCTACGATCGCACCAATGTAAGTGCGATCTTCACGAGACACACGGTGTACGGCAAAACCTTCTGTGAGTATTTTTCCCGTGATATCTCCCGGCTTCTTTGACTCGACAGGATGTCTCTGTTCATCCCACAGACCCGACGCGGCCCTACGCGAACTTCAGCCCGGATGGAGCCTTGAGTGAGGCGGATGCCAGGACCTTCACCGTCCGCAGTATCTACGATGCCTTCAGGCGCATCTTCGGCAACACCCAGACATATATCCGCAATAATCGGGATGAGATCATCAATCGCGGACACCTCACTCCCTCGGCCGACTTCCTCTTCGACGATCAGATGTGCGCCACCTGCAAGTACGTGAATGTGGTGCCGCAGTTCAAGAGCATCAACGACCGGAACTGGGAGACTATCGAGCGCTGGGTGCGCAACCGCATCCGAGGTGGTGGCTCGCTGATGATCAAGACGGGTGCTGTTGGCAATCTCATCCTGCCCAATCGTGCACGGCCCCCCGTCCCTCATCGCGTAATCCTGGGAACTGGCACCAAGAACCCCGTGCCCGAGTGGATGTACAAGGTGGTGCGAACTTCCACCAACCAGCCTCTGGCCGTCTTCCTCACGTACAACAACATTTACGCACCACGCCGTCCAAATGCCCCAGCATTTTGCACTAGCGTTCCCTGCCCCATGCCCCTGGTCAACACGGCAGTCGCTGGCTTCACCTACTGCTGCAATGCCACCATTTTCAATCTCTAATATGATCGTGCTTCCACTTATTTTTAATGAAAGCAGTAGCTTTGGTTACTCCTAAATATCCCAGATAAAATATACTCGATTAAAGCAGCAAAAATGTTTTGATTTTTAATCGATTAGGCAGCGTAAAGATCTTTCCAAGGAATAGTTTTACCATTCCCTAGTGTTCCTAATCTTTATTTCTCTTGTATTTAAATTTAATTATTTACTTATTTATTTATTATTTATTTTCCTCAAGGAACAAAACCAACTTTTTCTTAAAGATTTGGGGCTTACAAATGGCATCAACCCATATTTTCTTTTTTTTCTATGGAAGAACTTCTTTTTGAAGAATTTTTGAAAACTGTTTTTTTTTTTAAAGCTTTTTTCAGTGGTAGCGTTTCTTTTTTTCACATAACTTTAGTATCTTACGACTGGTTGTAAGGAATTTGCTATTTTTAAATATAATTTAAACATCTAGAAGTGAAGCTCAAACACTTTTGTGATTTCAGCTTACCGTCTGGGAAATATAAAGCATTGAAATGCAAAAATGATGATTTTGTTGCGGTATTTTTTGCCTCGAAGGCAAAGTCGAGGGATGGCACCAGATGGCTACGATCGTACAGATCGTACGATTCGCCCTTGACAAAATATGTCTGGGGTGCCAGGAGTTGATGGTATCTTTCATAGATCTTGGGATTCTGAAACGAGCTCGCAGCTGCTCCAGAGATTATGCGATCAGTTGTGAAATACTCTCGACGATCCGCCTCTAAACATAGACGTAGATTAGTTGAAATTACTCGTCCAATGGCTGCCCTGCTGACTGGAATACAAAACTTACCCGAGGTGCTTGTGTGGGCCATGTAAATGGTAAAATGCGCTTTAACGTTCGAAGCATCGTAGCAGCTTCTATAGATCTCCAGAAACACTAAATTTCTGACATTATAGCCCACACGATACATGGTGTGAGGGCAACTGGAATCGGCGATCGCCTCCACCACTGGGCTTATGGGTTGAGAACAACCAGTTGTGGCCAGTGGTGGGCTGAAGTTATTTCCAGTGCACCTTGATTGTATTATGTCAGCGGCATTGCAAATCGAATACACACTTGCAGTGTTAGGAAGCAAGTCCTTGCACAGCAGTTGATAACTCGAACCATCGCGAGTGGCAAAAACTCGATTAGTCTGCTTTAGTTCATTTGTATTTAGCTGGCAGTCAGCCTGCGCGCTTCCGAGTACTACAAAGATGATCACTCTTAAACACCAAATATTAATTTATATTATAACTTACAAAGAAGCAGACTGAGACTTAGACAGAGACACCGCACGTGGTTCATCTTCACAACTTGAGCTCGGAGCTACAACTGATGGTCGCTCGGCAGATTGCCCAGGCTCTAGTACAGAGGCCGGCAGCGTCGTATGCACTGTGCATAGGAAAAAATTTCGGGCAGCGCAGTCGGCACACGTACAGTGTAAAGACTTCGTGTGGTTTCGTTATTCTGCGCTTCTGACGTAGCGGCAGACAAAATTCTGCCTCACTGACGTAGCGGCAGAGAAACATGCTTCGGGCTATGCACAAACGGCTTCATATTCTGCTCGCTTGCCTCAGCGGCAGAGAAGCATTTGTGTGCCCTATGCACAATTATTATAATTATAAAGTTTATACGTACAGCAAATGTTGCGGAATTTCCATACCGCACTGAGGTCTCTCTTTTGCGATTTTGTATTATGACGCTGCTGTGGAATGTGGAATGGAATGAGTAATTTAATTGTATTAATTATATTCCAATGGGCAACACCTTTTCTTTTTTTCTAAGTGTGGAACATGGCTAAAAGCTCAAAAATAAAGCTTTTGGTTGGTACGATTGTAGAGTTCTACCCTTACTGGAATTGGGTATTACCAATCTCTGACCACACCCACACACATTGAACGTTCGGTCAAAAAACTACGCCAATTAAATGACACAATATTTCTGTACGTGTAGTCCACATCGGAAAGGTCGTACAATTCTCTTTTCAAGCCATCAGTTTTTGTGGGGGATGTTCTTAAAGTCTGCACCGGTGCCTTCGGTGTGCTCCACCAGTGGAAATCTGCAATCAGTTCAACCATGGCCCTCAACATTATTCCCGTTCCCAAGTGGATGTACTCTCACTGACTCTCACCGAAAACAAAGGATTGGACGACCTGTTCAATGCCCAAACTAAATGGATCTGCGGTGGGCGGGGCAGGAAGGATACACATTCTGCTGCGAGAAATGGGGCCGGCGATGAAAGTTGCAATTTCTGAGCTGCTGCCACACGCACGATGTCATCTGTTGGATTCTTGAAACCAAAAGGTATGGGCAGCAGAATGTAAGATGTAAAGAGAAAAGGTGTTGCCCATTTGATTATAGATCTATTAGATCATCTACCAAGCGATCAGAATTCCAAGAATACAAAAGCTCCGGGAGCCGTATAAATGCCAGTGTAGGCTCAGCCACTGGCATTTATACGGCTCCCGGAGCTTTTGTATTCAATCCACAATCACCATGGAAGCCCAACAGGTTGTACGATATCTGCTGCTTTGCATCGCCATTGGACTGGGATTGGGTGAGTAGCATTAAGAAAGGAACTGTTCGACTTGATGCATTATTTCCTTGGCATGATAGTCCTTCAGGCGGAGGCCGACTGCCCACTTTCCCGTGCCATGATTGAGGGCACCAATCGCATATGTGCCAACCGTGATACCAGGGGAAACTACGCCCTGAGGCGGGTCCAGAGAGTGCAAACTGGCGAGGTGCTTCACATGATCTGCCAGCCGGACGACATCGTCCAGACCACCTGCCAGCCGAACACGAAATTCTCCCGACCGCTGTCGCTGCGATGCAACAACCCCATGGGCGCCAGTGCCACAATCGTCACTGATGCATCCTGTCCGGCCACCATGTACTCCATTGGCTACACGATCAACAACAAACGACTGGAGCTGTATCGCGCCTGCTACGATCGCACCAATGTAAGTGCGATCTTCACGAGACACACGGTGTACGGCAAAACCTTCTGTGAGTATTTTTCCCGTGATATCTCCCGGCTTCTTTGACTCGACAGGATGTCTCTGTTCATCCCACAGACCCGACGCGGCCCTACGCGAACTTCAGCCCGGATGGAGCCTTGAGTGAGGCGGATGCCAGGACCTTCACCGTCCGCAGTATCTACGATGCCTTCAGGCGCATCTTCGGCAACACCCAGACATATATCCGCAATAATCGGGATGAGATCATCAATCGCGGACACCTCACTCCCTCGGCCGACTTCCTCTTCGACGATCAGATGTGCGCCACCTGCAAGTACGTGAATGTGGTGCCGCAGTTCAAGAGCATCAACGACCGGAACTGGGAGACTATCGAGCGCTGGGTGCGCAACCGCATCCGAGGTGGTGGCTCGCTGATGATCAAGACGGGTGCTGTTGGCAATCTCATCCTGCCCAATCGTGCACGGCCCCCGTCCCTCATCGCGTAATCCTGGGAACTGGCACCAAGAACCCCGTGCCCGAGTGGATGTACAAGGTGGTGCGAACTTCCACCAACCAGCCTCTGGCCGTCTTCCTCACGTACAACAACATTTACGCACCACGCCGTCCAAATGCCCCAGCATTTTGCACTAGCGTTCCCTGCCCCATGCCCCTGGTCAACACGGCAGTCGCTGGCTTCACCTACTGCTGCAATGCCACCATTTTCAATCTCTAATATGATCGTGCTTCCACTTATTTTTAATGAAAGCAGTAGCTTTGGTTACTCCTAAATATCCCAGATAAAATATACTCGATTAAAGCAGCAAAAATGTTTTGATTTTTAATCGATTAGGCAGCGTAAAGATCTTTCCAAGGAATAGTTTTACCATTCCCTAGTGTTCCTAATCTTTATTTCTCTTGTATTTAAATTTAATTATTTACTTATTTATTTATTATTTATTTTCCTCAAGGAACAAAACCAACTTTTTCTTAAAGATTTGGGGCTTACAAATGGCATCAACCCATATTTTTTTTTTTTTTCTATGGAAGAACTTCTTTTTGAAGAATTTTTGAAAACTGTTTTTTTTTTTAAAGCTTTTTTCAGTGGTAGCGTTTCTTTTTTTCACATAACTTTAGTATCTTACGACTGGTTGTAAGGAATTTGCTATTTTTAAATATAATTTAAACATCTAGAAGTGAAGCTCAAACACTTTTGTGATTTCAGCTTACCGTCTGGGAAATATAAAGCATTGAAATGCAAAAATGATGATTTTGTTGCGGTATTTTTTGCCTCGAAGGCAAAGTCGAGGGATGGCACCAGATGGCTACGATCGTACAGATCGTACGATTCGCCCTTGACAAAATATGTCTGGGGTGCCAGGAGTTGATGGTATCTTTCATAGATCTTGGGATTCTGAAACGAGCTCGCAGCTGCTCCAGAGATTATGCGATCAGTTGTGAAATACTCTCGACGATCCGCCTCTAAACATAGACGTAGATTAGTTGAAATTACTCGTCCAATGGCTGCCCTGCTGACTGGAATACAAAACTTACCCGAGGTGCTTGTGTGGGCCATGTAAATGGTAAAATGCGCTTTAACGTTCGAAGCATCGTAGCAGCTTCTATAGATCTCCAGAAACACTAAATTTCTGACATTATAGCCCACACGATACATGGTGTGAGGGCAACTGGAATCGGCGATCGCCTCCACCACTGGGCTTATGGGTTGAGAACAACCAGTTGTGGCCAGTGGTGGGCTGAAGTTATTTCCAGTGCACCTTGATTGTATTATGTCAGCGGCATTGCAAATCGAATACACACTTGCAGTGTTAGGAAGCAAGTCCTTGCGCAGCAGTTGATAACTCGAACCATCGCGAGTGGCAAAAACTCGATTAGTCTGCTTTAGTTCATTTGTATTTAGCTGGCAGTCAGCCTGCGCGCTTCCGAGTACTACAAAGATGATCACTCTTAAACACCAAATATTAATTTATATTATAACTTACAAAGAAGCAGACTGAGACTTAGACAGAGACACCGCACGTGGTTCATCTTCACAACTTGAGCTCGGAGCTACAACTGATGGTCGCTCGGCAGATTGCCCAGGCTCTAGTACAGAGGCCGGCAGCGTCGTATGCACTGTGCATAGGAAAAAATTTCGGGCAGCGCAGTCGGCACACGTACAGTGTAAAGACTTCGTGTGGTTTCGTTATTCTGCGCTTCTGACGTAGCGGCAGACAAAATTCTGCCTCACTGACGTAGCGGCAGAGAAACATGCTTCGGGCTATGCACAAACGGCTTCATATTCTGCTCGCTTGCCTCAGCGGCAGAGAAGCATTTGTGTGCCCTATGCACAATTATTATAATTATAAAGTTTATACGTACAGCAAATGTTGCGGAATTTCCATACCGCACTGAGGTCTCTCTTTTGCGATTTTGTATTATGACGCTGCTGTGGAATGTGGAATGGAATGAGTAATTTAATTGCCCTAGTGGGCATGATGATCTAATAGATCTATATTCCAATGGGCAACACCTTTTCTGTTATACATCTTTACATTCTACTGCCCATACCTTTTGGACCCATACTTTTTGGACCCCATAAAGTATATATATTCTTGATCAGCATCAATAGCCGAGTCGATATAGCCATGTCTATCTGTCCGTCTGTCTGTCCGTCTGTCTGTCTGTCTGTCTGTCTGTCTGTCCGTCTTGTTGAGCGCCTAGATCTCAGAGACTATAAGAGCTAGGGCAACCAAATTTGGTTTCTAAGTTCATGTGATATCACACTGCTACAAGTGTATTTCAAAATTTCGCCCCGCCCCCTTCCGCCCCCACAAAGGACGAAAATCTGTGGCAGGCACATTTTTAAAGATACGATAAAACTAAAAACGCAGTATCGCAGAGAATGCCCATATCTACCAGATTGCCGAATCTGAATTAGATCGGATCATAATTATAGCCAGAATGAAGAAATTAATTTTCTGTTGGTTCCCCCGACTCCACCAGCCAGAGCCAAACCTGCTACACATTCTCTTTCTCGCTCGCACACTCGCCGCGTTCAGGGCGCGAGCAACCCCTAGCGGAGGAGATGTAGAATCTAAATGGTACATGTATAATATACATGTTAGATGTAGAATATACATAATATATGTAGATGTATATAACAGATGTAGCAAACAAATGTTAAATGTAAAATTTTTTTTTTTTAATTCTAAAATTCTAAAAAATCATAAGCTAAAATATGTACATATATACTGACTGAGTACGGTTATAAGTAGAGTCGCGTCCCCAGAAGCGACTCGCACGTTCCTTGTCTTGTCAAAATAATATGAGATAAAATCAAATTTTTAATTAGTTAACTGTATCTATTAATAGGGCCATTTAGA